ATACACAATGGCCTCCAGCTGTCATTGCTGGTATTGAGTTCATCTTGAGTCTCAGACTGCTGTCAGAGTTCAGACCAATAAACTGTTCTCTGGAAACTAGGGATGAAAAGGTTAATTTACATGAATGTCACAGGCATTTTATGTGACCTGGAGGTTAATTACATATCTGTGCTCGGGTAATTGTTCAGTATTTCTGAGATAACCAGCGGTAGATGAGTCATGGCGGAGTGTTGGATGTATTTGACCGTCTCCATTGCTCTTGTTTGACATGCGGAGGAAATAGGTTTAGGCTGTAGCACCACTGTTACATTTCCTTATCTAATAGTGGCGGCCATATGGTTATATTTGTCACAGACAATTCGACAATTACACCATGGTTTATGGCTGAGGGACATGCGAGGATGTCTGCCTCACCCATGTTCATACATGTTCCATTATCTGTTCTACATTTATGTCAGAGTGGCAGTGACTTGGAAAAAACGATCCAGTAGCGTTTGAACGCTGAAATATCTAATGGAGGACTGTGTAAATTGACCAAACCATCGTAACTGTTGTAATGTAGTGTTAATACTCCATAGAGCAATACTGTACTAGGACTATACTGTACCTGAGCCACTATAATGTAGTGTTAATACTCCATAGAGCAATACTGTACTACACTATATTTTACCCACTATAATGTAGTGTTAATACTCCATAGAGCGATACTGTACTAGGACTATACTGTACCTGAGCCACTATAATGTAGTGTCAATACTCCATAGAGCAATACTGTACTAGGACTATACTGTACCCACTATAATGTAGTGTTAATAATCCATAGATCAATACTGTACTAGGACTATACTTTACCCACTATAATGTAGTGTTAATACTCCATAGAACAATACTGTACTAGGACTATACTGTACCCACTATAATGTAGTGTTAATAATCCATAGATCAATACTGTACTAGGACTATACTGTGCCCACTATAATGTAGTGTTAATACTCCATAGAGCAATACTGTACTAGGACAATGTGGCCAACAGACAAGGTTAATGTAATTAATACATTTAATGGCAGTTTTTATTGATGTTAAATTGACTTATACATGTCTTACTGTACACTATAATTTGATAGACTTTCCTCTGTTCTGTGACCTATATTACACTGTGATCAAAGCTAGGAGGCCTTATATTATGTTACAGGAAATGTCTGTACTATTATTCAGCAGTAAGGGCTGGCCATTGAACTGCTGTCTCACATGGGTCTCTGTCCTATTTCAAATTCCTTTCATGATTTTACATAGAAAATTATTCTTCATTTCCTATGGTGTTAAACTCTGTGGCAAGTGAAAAACATAGTCACTCCAGAGTTTGAGTGAGGACTGTAAATCATGATGTCACACAGTTGCTATTATGTATATATGACATCACAATCGGTCAATCAATGACAAGTCATTCTGACCAATCAGATTTATGCATATTTCCAATATTATGCAGATTTATGCACTTATATTTATAATTATGCATGGACCTTATAGCAAAAAATGGCTACGGTAAACCTTCGGTCAGTTCGAACAAAATCAAATAAATATTGATGAACCTGTTCGGATTATACTAAATTATGCTTCAGAAAATAAGTGTGAGTTCGAACTATCGGCAAAAATGTCGGCAAAGTGCAAATCAAGTCACAAACATATACCCGACATATATATCCAATGTAAGGTCGAAACGTAACAACGACGGCCTGGCATAGAACAATGGCACATTTATAAATGGGTAAAATGATAGTATATTATTTAATTCAATGTTAGTTACTCATTAACTTTCTTCATTTCGAGATAATTATGATCGTTATTGCCAAGCAGAGGCCATTGTGTAGGCCCCAAAACAGTACACGTTTCATTTGTGACACAAAAGTTAGACTACTTAGTTTGTATCAGATACCTAAATATGGAGTCTTTGCGTGGTTAGGTTTTATTTGAATCAGAAACTATTTTATATATTATTTCGTAATGAATGGTCCGTTTAATAAATTGAAAACATAGTCTACATAACCTGTTGCGTTTACAAAGCGCAACTGTAAATATAGGTCTATATGTTAATAAAATTAGGTCAGAACATCAACATGTTTGCTTTTAAATTATAAGTGATATAGTCCTAATACCTACCAAACTTATTTGACACCTTCAAAATTACCCATCGCTACTTGGGACACCTGTGGATTGTTTGGACTTGGACATGAATGCTAATCACGTCACTCACCATGGCTGGGCGGCCGATCTCTACCGTGACATCTCGCGTGTCCTGCCCTACCTGGTGTGAGCTGGGCAATAATTAAGGGATGTCTGGTCGCATTTAAAAAATCAAAATGCTTAGTTAACACTGTATTTGACAACACACGGGCGATTTCTTAGTTTGCCATACAGCGTGACATCAGTTCGTACTGATCGCATGTTATTTATACATTGTCGGGGCCTAAGTTGCAATTGGCTGTCTCATGCATGATGTATTTTTCAAACAATGTAAAAAATGAATCAACGCTAAAACCTGTGACATATATTTATGGTTTGTTTGTCACAACTGTAATGCAATGCTCACACATACATCCCATTGCCCTAAACGTGTCTGTTGATCAAAGTATTGGCATTTTTCCGGGGCCGATCGCCGCAAGCTTTCAATGGAATTTGCCGAAAAAAAATCTGACTTTACGTTCTTCATTTGACAAGTTCGGACTATCCGAAATAGGAGTTCGAAATACGGTCAATCAAAGTTTGAAATATCATTAGCTAGAAAATTATTGTTTTTATTGAAAAAAAATATGTGTTCGAACTATCAGCCGATTCGAACTGACCAGAGGTTTACCGTAAATTGGATACTTCTGTTTCCATGACAATATCTTGATTCTTACATTTTTTTATATTAATGAAACTTGAGTTTTACCATTTGGGGAAGTGTGCAACGTATTGAGTGGTGGGGAAGTGGTTCAAGATTAACAAGAATGGTGACCGGATATTGAGTCGTGGGGAAGTGGTTCTAGATTAACAAGAATGGTGACCGGATATTGAGTCGTGGGGATATTGTTATAGATTAACAAGAATAGTGACCGGATATTGAGTCGTGGGGATATTGTTATAGATAAACAAGAATGGTGACCAGATATTGAGTTGTGGGGATATTGTTATAGATTAAGTAGAATGGGGACCGGATATTGAGTTGTGGGGATATTGTTATAGATTAACTAGAATGGTGACCAGATATTGAGTTGTTGGGATATTGTTATAGATTAACAAGAACGGTGACCAGATATTGAGTTGTGGGGATATTATTAGTTACACGGAATTTTTGGCAGGGTATACGGGATAACGGCCTCAGGAAATACGAAATCCTTTAGGGTCATACCATTCCGTATACCCTGCCAAAAATCTGTGTAACAAATTTATTACCCCTTTGAGTCTTTGATAATAAAAGCAAAGAAAAATAACAGGCTCAGTACCTCATTTAGTTTCGTTTTATCAAATTCCTCGAACTGTTCTTCCTGATTCTTTTCTTTTAAATACGTCCTCAGCATGTTTGCCGCTCGTCTGTTCGACTTTTGTGTGTTATGTGGCACATAGTTAGCCCTTTTGGCGAGTATTTCCTCATCAGTATGCGAAGCGAAACGTTTTGCTATTTTGTAAACAGCGAAACAGACGACGAATGCGAGTTGTCTCCCGATGCCCGGTCGCAAGATACAAAGACACGTGACCCGTATACCCCTTGTAAAATCACGTGATTCCACCGTATTACTGCTGAGAATCACGTGACATGACCGTATACCCCCTGAGATTTTCGTATACCCCCTGAGATTTACGAATGCGGTTTGGTACACTGTAGTTTTTAACCAATCAGATTCCTAGATTTTTCTCAAAGGGGGAATAATGTTATAGATTAACAAGAACGGTGACCAGATATTGAGTCGTGGGGATATTGTTATAGATTAACTAGAATTGTTACTGGATATTGAGTCGTGGGGAAGTGGTTCTAGATTAACAAGAATGGTGACCGGATATTGAGTTGTGGGGATATTGTTATAGATTAACAAGAACGGTGACCACATATTGACTCGTGGGGATATTGTTATAGATTAACTAGAATGGTGACCGGATATTGAGTTGTGGGGATATTGTTATAGATTAACTAGAATGGTGACCAGATATTGAGTTGTGGGGATATTGTTATAGATTAACTAGAATGGTGACCGGATATTGAGTTGTGGGGATATTGTTATAGATTAACAAGAACGGTGACCACATATTGAGTTGTGGGGATATTGTTATAGATTAACAAGAACGGTGACCACATATTGAGTTGTGGGAATATTGTTATAGATTAACTAGAATGGTGACCGGATATTGAGTTGTGGGGATATTGTTATAGATTAACTAGAATGGTGACTAGATATTGAGTTGTGGGGATATTGTGATAGATTAACTAGAATGGTGACCAGATATTGAGTTGTGGGAATATTGTTATAGATTAACTAGAATGGTGACCGGATATTGAGTTGTGGGGATATTGTTATAGATTAACTAGAATGGTGACTAGATATTGAGTTGTGGGGATATTGTGATAGATTAACTAGAATGGTGACCGGATATTGAGTTGTGGGAATATTGTTATAGATTAACTAGAATGGTGACCGGATATTGAGTTGTGGGGATATTGTTATAGATTAGCTAGAATGGTGACCAGATATTGAGTTGTGGGGATATTGTTATAGATTAACAAGAATGATACTGATAGAAATATAGAAATCTTTCTAGATTGACAAAATGGTGACTAGATATATATTGAGTTGTTAGGAAATAATTCTAGATTTACAAGAATGGTAACTAAATATTGAGTTGATGGGGAAGTAGTTGGATGAACAGGTTGTAATTTAGCTGGTATCATTATATGAAGGTAAAATTACACCAGCAGTGATAAGGACACACAGATGGTAACAACATAACTATGTTCTCTTTGTTTACAGATTTTATGGTTTGAGCAGCAGTTTGTTAAGAAGAGAGTTAAGAGAGACCTAACATTCACAGATCCACTCTGGGTTAAACAGTGGTATTTGGTATGTATATATTTATAATCACATCTTCTGATTCATAATGTTACCATTAATTAACTTTGGGAGAGACAAACAAGACAAATGCCTTATTTTTTGCCTGCCATCATAAGATAATTGGTTGTTCAAATCACAATTTCTCTATCATCTTTCACCGTCCTTGAACTGTTTGTCTGTTAGCCATAATTAAACACTTCTTGGTACATGTATTGCTATTTGAAGTACTTCACTGATATTTCTTTATTTTGACAGTTTAAGCTTGTTAATGTTATTTCTTCAAAAGTCCTTTATTGATGTATGATGATGTCTTTCTTAAATTTCACAAGTTGGTTCTTCCTCGTCCTTAATTGTGAATGTTCCCTTTTGAGACTGATCAAAAGAATTATATGGCTACATTACAAAATAACAGCCTGAGACTAAACAAGTAATAGGCTGATGATCGATTATAATCGAAAATCATTCGGTTTACCCTTTCTGATTCTGATTATCGATTACAAATTCCATAATCGCTATAATCGGTTCATCATAGAAATTAAAGTATTCAAATGTCATCCATGTAAAGTATGCTTTGAAAGTCATAGATTGTTATGATTTATACTATATGATTGATAAAAATGCCTAAAAGTTGCTTGATATCCATTCATTATAAAAGAACGAAACCTAATGTATAGTGAACAACTCTGTCCGTTGATGTAATAGTTGTGCTCTCATTCTATTTGGGTATTCAATTCCAAAAAATTATAAACCGATTATGCAATCGATCATCGATCGTTTTACTACTTCCAATTACAAACCGAATATCGGTCATGATTTTAAAGCGATTGCCCATCACTAGACTATACCCTTTACCATCCCATCTACAGAGGCACTGAGTCCTCCATAAATTTGCATCGTTTCGATCATGAAATGCTATATAATATGAGTGGTAGGCTACCAGTCTTTGTTAAATGAAAGTGGAATGTAGTTTAAGCCAGACATAGTGAACCTTTTCCTTGTAGTATGGCGGTGGTCGTCGGGGAAGGAATGGTCCGGGAGGATTCGACATGGGGGTGGCCGGAGCCTGGAAGATGGGATACTCAGGAAAGGGTGTGGTCATCACTATACTCGATGACGGGATTGAACGAGATCATCCAGACCTTATAGGGAACTATGTAAGTAGAACACCAAGGTGGTTTTAGAAAACAGGACCGATTGTCAGATGTTTGTACAGCTTGCTTTTTTACCCCCCCGCTTTCACCGAAACGGGGGATATTAATTTGGGTTTGTCTGTCTGTCACGATTCGTTTCCGTGCAATAACTTTCAGCACACTTTATTTGCTGGAGTTATGGCCCCTTGGCTTCCAATTGGGGGTAAACAATTGCCGTGAATCATGACGTCACAATGGTAGATGACGTCGCAAAGCATTGTTACTAGACGTCATAAGTAGAAGATTGACCAATGAAATCATGTCCAGAGTGAGACGCACTAGTGGGTAACCAAAAATGTCAACCAACTCCTAGCAGGTTTATACAATGAATCGTGAGTGAGGAAACCTGTAGTGGTTGTGGGAGAAATGTAATTATTATCATTTATTTGTTCATAAACAATTAATTGGTTATAAGTCTGATTACTAGGCAATACAATGATAACTCATCATTCCTGATATTTGAAGTACTTGACAGATAACCAGCTTCTAGGTCTTCAGTATCTTGTCTGTATGTAACGTTTAAAGTGAAAACATTGTAACCAACGGAAAATTGTAATCAGTGTAAGCACTGCGAACATTGTAATCACTAAAATCAGTGCAATCATGGTTAGTGTAACTACTGCAAAATGACAAGTGGAGTAAAGCATTGTAAATCTTGTACGTAGTGTGAATACGTATTTGACATGTAATTACGTATTTGACATGTAATTACATATTTGACATGTAATTACGTATTTGACATGTAATTACATATTTGACATGTAATTAACAATAAAAGGTTGTGTTACAAACATCCAGTGTAAATGCTACAAATGTGGTGCAAATGCTTCCCACCTATACTGTATGTGGTAAATATAAACAAACAGTGTCACCTATACTGTATGTGGTAAACATACAGTGTCACCTATCCTGTATGTGGTAAACAGACAGTGTCACCTATCCTGTATGTGGTAAACAGACAGTGTCACCTATACTGTTTGTGGTAAACAGACAGTGTCACCTATACTTTATGTGGTAAACAGACAGTGTCACCTATACTGTCTGTGGTAGATATAAACATACAGTGTCACCTATACTGTTTGTGGTAAACATACAGTGTCACCTATACTGGATGTGGTAAACAGACAGTGTCACCTATACTGTATGTGGTAAATATAAACATGCAGTGTCACCTATACTGTATGTGGTAAACAGACAGTGCCACATATACTGTATGTGGTAAACAGACAGTGTCACCTATACTGTATGTGGTAAACATACAGTGTCACCTATACTGTATGTGGTAAATATACAGTGTCACCTATACTGTATGTGGTTAACATACAGTGTAAGTAAGAAATACATAGAGGATACAGAAAGTTAACCTTACATGTATGGTTGCCATTATTTCCGTGATCCTGTTGTTGTAATGGTGAAAATAAGGTCAAGGTGACTCTTTAATGCAGATTTTTTATGCAAAACAAATCTTATGAAATTAATGCACTTTATGAAAAGTGCGGCGGATGAAAAACAAATTTTTTAATTTATTCTTCAGATGTAGAACACATTAAAGCCAACTTGGTAATGGTGACATGTAATGGGAGTGGTACAGGGCTGGTCCAGGTAATGGGAGTGGTACAGGGCTGGTCCAGGTAATGGGAGTGGTACAGGGCTGGTCCAGGTAATGGGAGTGGTACAGGGCTGGTCCAGGTAATGGGAGTGGTACAGGGCTGGTCCAGGTAATGGGAGTGGTACAGGGCTGGTCCAGGTAATGGGAGTGGTACAGGGCTGGTCCAGGTAATGGGAGTGGTACAGGGCTGGTCCAGGTAATGGGAGTGGTACAGGGCTGGTCCAGGTAATGGGAGTGGTACAGGGCTGGTCCAGGTAATGGGAGTGGTACAGGGCTGGTCCAGGTAATGGGAGTGGTACAGGGCTGGTCCAGGTAATGGGAGTGGTACAGGGCTGGTCCAGGTAATGGGAGTGGTACAGGGCTGGTCCAGGTAATGGGAGTGGTACAGGGCTGGTCCAGGTAATGGGAGTGGTACAGGGCTGGTCCAGGTAATGGGAGTGGTACAGGGCTGGTCCAGGTAATGGGAGTGGTACAGGGCTGGTCCAGGTAATGGGAGTGGTACAGGGCTGGTCCAGGTAATGGGAGTGGTACAGGGCTGGTCCAGGTAATGGGAGTGGTACAGGGCTGGTCCAGGTAATGGGAGTGGTACAGGGCTGGTCCAGGTAATGGGAGTGGTACAGGGCTGGTCCAGGTAATGGGAGTGGTACAGGGCTGGTCCAGGTAATGGGAGTGGTACAGGGCTGGTCCAGGTAATGGGAGTGGTACAGGGCTGGTCCAGGTAATGGGAGTGGTACAGGGCTGGTCCAGGTAATGGGAGTGGTACAGGGCTGGTCCAGGTAATGGGAGTGGTACAGGGCTGGTCCAGGTAATGGGAGTGGTACAGGGCTGGTCCAGGTAATGGGAGTGGTACAGGGCTGGTCCAGGTAATGGGAGTGGTACAGGGCTGGTCCAGGTAATGGGAGTGGTACAGGGCTGGTCCAGGTAATGGGAGTGGTACAGGGCTGGTCCAGGTAATGGGAGTGGTACAGGGCTGGTCCAGGTAATGGGAGTGGTACAGGGCTGGTCCAGGTAATGGGAGTGGTACAGGGCTGGTCCAGGTAATGGGAGTGGTACAGGGCTGGTCCAGGTAATGGGAGTGGTACAGGGCTGGTCCAGGTAATGGGAGTGGTACAGGGCTGGTCCAGGTAATGGGAGTGGTACAGGGCTGGTCCAGGTAATGGGAGTGGTACAGGGCTGGTCCAGGTAATGGGAGTGGTACAGGGCTGGTCCAGGTAATGGGAGTGGTACAGGGCTGGTCCAGGTAATGGGAGTGGTACAGGGCTGGTCCAGGTAATCGTGACATGTAATGGGAGTGGTCCAGGGCTGGTCCAGGTAATCGTGACATGTAATGGGAGTGGTACAGGGCTGGTCCAGGTAATGGGCTGCAGACATGCCAACTAGCTGTGATCTTCTCATGGAAGTTATTGTGGCTTTGGAGAATGCTCACAGTTATGTCATGTTTCAATTTACTTAAACTCCCTGTTATAATGACACTCATGGTTTCTGTTGGGGTGTTTTCAGATTGATCATCTTTGTTTCTTTGGCAAGAAAGATAAGTTGTTCTGTAGGCTAAAAAAGGTTTTATTTCCAAATTATCTCTGTGGTCTATGTTACAGCTGGGTCCATTATAACATATATTGTGTTTGGAAGCTTTGTGAACAACTGTCACAGAAGCTTTGTTTTGCACTGTTGAAATATTTCCTCATGAATTAGCGAACGAAATAGATACAGACTATTGATTCAACAAACCCAATTTTCCTGGACTAATGCTAATTCAGATATTGACATATCTATCATGCCTATCCAGATAAACCCCTGATCATTTGTGGATTCAAGCTTTATCATTGTTTAAAGACCAAACTTTTGAAAATTTTACTTTTGTTGGCAAAATGGAAAGGAAATTATGGTCAGTGTTTTTATAGAAATGCTGTGTCTGAGAACCTTTAGCTGTTATCTTGCTTGGAAAGTGGAGTGTTTTTCTGTGTTGACTGGCGCTGTCAGACGATAGGAGCCTGTGGGAGCCCTGGAAATGTCATCTCATTGTAGTGGCAATGTTGTAAGGAGTGTCGTAGGAAGTGGAGTACTAGAATAAACTTCAAACGTTGTATTGTCTGTAGGTCTGGTATCTTTGTGTTGTCTGTAGGTCTGGTATCTTTGTGTTGTCTGTAGGTCTGGTATCTTTGTGTTGTCCTTAATTCTGGTATCTCTGTGTTGTCTGTAGGTCTGGTATCTTTGTGTTGTCCGTAGGTCTGGTATCTTTGTGTTGTCTGTAGGTCTGGGATCTTTGTGTTGTCTGTAGGTCTGGTATCTTTGTATTGTCTGTAGGTCTGGTATCTTTGTGTTGTCTATAGGTCTGGTATCTTTGTGTTGTCTGTAGGTCTGGTTTCTTTGTGTTGTCTGTAGGTCTGGGATCTTTGTGTTGTCTGTAGGTCTGGTATCTTTGTATTGTCTGTAGGTCTGGTATCTTTGTGTTGTCTGTCGGTCTGGTATCTTTGTGTTGTCTGTAGGTCTGGGATGTTTGTGTTGTCTGTAGGTCTGGTATCTTTGTGTTGTCCGTAGGTCTGGTATCTTTGTGTTGTCTGTAGGTCTGGTTTCTTTGTGTTGTCTGTAGGTCTGGGATCTTTGTGTTGTCTGTAGGTCTGGTATCTTTGTATTGTCTGTAGGTCTGGTATCTTTGTGTTGTCTGTAGGTCTGGTATCTTTGTGTTGTCTGTAGGTCTGTGAAGAAACATGATCAGCATGTGTCACCACACAGTTCCTACATGTGCGGTTTTTGTCAGGACTAGTTTTCCCGAATATTTGTCACCAACTGGCCTACCAGATAGTTGGTCTTCACTTATTTCACCAGGATGTTTGTTTTGACTGGTAAACCAGATTTTTTTTTTGAATGAAAAACCTGAATTATGTTTTGTATGAAAAATTCATTATAAATTGGAATTTTTATTAATATTCACTGCCAAGTGGTTAAGGTGTCTGATCTATGATCACTCGCCCTCTACCATTTGGTCACAGGTTTGAGGCCTATGTGACGCAGTCGCCCTGGTCTGTGTTTTTCTTTGGGTACTCTGACTCTTCTCTACTACCTAAACCTGACTCGTCCACAAATGACCATAGCTGTTAATAGGACGTAAAGCACAAACAAACCAAACCTGTACATTACAGTTCCATAACAAACACATCTTCTATTTCTTGATATGCCCTCTGCTCTCTACTCAACTTTTATCTGGTGCTCAATTGATAAATTCCAATGCTTTGACTTGTTTTGAACATGAATTTCTAACTTACACTCATTTTGACAATGATTAAGAGTCGGTTACCGTGGAAACCAAATAAGTAGGCTGTGTAGCCATGCAAATAATGTACACCTGTCAATGACATGAAAACTTTTCCCTGTCTTCGCTCTCCTGCCTTTGTTCATGAACATATCTTGATGAAACTTGGTACACATACTGCTTACCAATATAGCTCAGAACGCGTTTGCATTTCAGAAGCTTACATGTATTTGTAGTGGAGTTATGCCTGTTTTATTGCCAAATAAGGGCATTGTGTAGTAAATGTAAGAACTTTTTAATTTTTGTTATCATTTCCTTACAAATTTTGTATGGTAATGCTAGAAGCATTAATGTTCAACACATATTATGAGATGAGTTTCAACTTTCTGCGTTTTGGCATATCACACTTGACATAGTAACGCTGTTCAACGTTTTTACCGTTAACTTTTGCTTGTTTACACGATAATTCAAACAATAGTTCTTGGATTTTTGTCAAGCATTACCTGAATGCATTGGAAACGTTCATAAATCGTGATGTTTATATGCTATTCAGCAGAGTTTTGTCCCTTTCTCATTGCGGGGCTATGATCCTTTCAATGCTAAATAATGACATTGACATACAAAAACTGTTTGATTTTTTAATCAATTCCTTTCAAATTTTGTATGTTGATGCTAGAAGCAAATATGTTCAACATATATAATGGGTTTTTGTTGTCGAGTTGCTGGCTTATCACACTTGACATAGCAACACTGTACTTCATTTTTGCATTAACTTTTGCTTGTTTACACGATAACTCAAACAATTGTTCTCCGATTTTTATACGCCCGTCAAATTTGACGGGAGTATTATGGTATGGCGTTGTCTGGCCGGCGTAAACTTTTGTTTGTCCGGCAATCTCCTCCTACATTTTTCAACCGATCTCTTTGAAACTTGGAATACATTATAATCATGATCTGAAGTTGTGTGTCCCTTAAAAGAGTTTTGATTCGAAAAGATTTGCAAAAGTTATTGCACTTTGTTTATTTCAGTATTTGATTTTTGTCCGGCAATCTCCTCCTACATTTTTCAACAGATTTCTTTGAAACTTGGTATACATTATCATCATGATATGAAGTTGTGTCTCCCTTAACAAAATTTTGATTTGACAATTTTTGCAAAAGTTATTACCCTTTGTTCATTTCAGTATTTGATTTTTGTCCGGCAATCTCCTACATTTTTTGACAGATTTCTTTGAAACTTAGTAGGCTAAATAATCATGATATGTTGTTGTGTTTCCTTGAAAAGAATTTAGATTCAACGATTTTTGCAAAAGTTATTGTCCTTTGTTCATTTCAGTATTGGATTTTTTTATCTGGAGATTTTCTCCTTCATTTTTATAGCATGTCAGCTAACCACTCTTTGAATGATGCAGATCTTATTTCAATGTAAGAAAGTATATAACACTATATGGCATTCGACGGGTGTATATTGTTCCGCCCCGCGGTACTCTTGTTATTAAACTACTTGGTTGTTTCATTACCTGAATGCTTTGAATAAATTCTTAAATCGTGACTTTTAAACCGTATTCGGCAGAGTTATGCCCCTTTTTCATTGTCATATAAGGGCATTCTGTCGAAAACGAAGACATTTTTAATTATTTGATTAATTCCTTTCAAATTTAGTATGGTAATACACAAACCAAACATGTTAAACATATATACCAGGTTTTGTTGTCGCGTTCCAACTTTCATACCAGGACTCCTACCTCAAAGCCAAGGTTCTAGTTTTAGTAACAGCAACATTGACCACGAAAGTGTAATTCTGAAACACAAAATAGTTTATATGAACACAGTAAATGAATGGCAAGGTCACAGTCACCAACAAAACAGTGGCAGTGAACACAATGACATTTATATCATATGTCACTACCTGCTTCCAATATATCAATACCCTCCGGAGGGTCTGACAGGTGTATCATCCAAGGGTCTGACAGGCGTATCATCCGAGGGTCTGACAGGCTTGTCATCCGAGGGGTCTGACAGGCGTATCATGCGAGGGTCGGACAGGCGTGTCATCCGAGGGGTCTGACAGGCGTATCATGCGAGGGTCGGACAGGCGTGTCATCCGAGGGTCTGACAGGCGTATCATCCAAGGGTCTGACAGGCGTATCATCCGAGGGTCTGACAGGCGTATCATGCGAGGGTCTGACAGGCGTATCATGCGAGGGTCGGACAGGCGTGTCATCCGAGGGTCTGACAGGCGTATCATCCAAGGGTCTGACAGGCGTATCATGCGAGGGTCTGACAGGCATATCTTCCGAGGGTCTGACAGGCATATCATGCGAGGGTCTGACAGGCGTGTCATCCGAGGGTCTGACAGGCGTATCATGCGAGGGTCTGACAGGCGTATCATAAGAGGGTCTGACAGGCGTATCATGCGAGGGTCGGACAGGCGTATCATGCTTCCACTCGTCTTGTTTGTCTTGTTTATTGCTTGTGGCATTTATAAAACAAAGCTCACTCTAAAATTAGGGTTGCTATGGAGATGGAAAGATTGCTGACCATGTGAAAGTTGCACGCTAATTCATTATAGATTGGGATGTCTGATTGGCTGTGTTTATGTTTGTTTGGCAGGTCAACCGGTCTTGTATGAAGGTATTACTACTGTATCAACTGTCATAAGTGAACAGACTTAATGACCCATCATCACAAAAATGTCACAGCATATCTGGTCAGTCAAAAAGTCACGGCATATCTGGTCAGTCAAAAGTCACGGCATATCTGGTCCGTCAAAAAGTCACGGCATATCTGGTCAGTCAAAAAGTCACGGCATATCTTGTCAGTCAAAAAGTCACGGCATATCTGGTCAGTCAAAAAGTCTAAGGGCAGTGAACTATTTCTCTTGATGATGCAATAGTTATTATACAAACTGAAAAGTTATACACCTTATATAGGGCGATAACTTAAACTGTAACTCATAAAGAGTCGTTCAGCTAATTACAGGCGGGTAACATCAGTGTAAATATGTAAAGTTGTACATTACAAAGGCTTGTTATACTAAATGAAATGCTGGTAGGCTGGTTACATATAACATAAAGGTCTTACAGTATATTAGGCAGATATTGGCGCTGACATCTTAAACTCGAAAGAATCAAACAAGATTGTC